ATGAGTGCCAGAGGAGGATTCGAAGTAGTGCACCCTAGTGTTTTGGCCGCCTGCACCCTTGCGATTTTCGAGGGTGCTCCAAGAAGGAAGCGAAGGAGGAGCAGTGATGCGCGAGTGAGCAAGAAAAAGCTGAGCACAGAATCCACCTCTTTTCGCTCCCCCCCCCCCCCCCCCCGCCTGTTGTATTTTCGTGTTTGCTCCAGGTTGGTTTTCTCTCCTTTCTTGCATGGGTCAGCGGTCACGGGAAAAAGAAATTTTGAGGTTTCATGTGTCCTCGAGTTCAAGGTTTGTTTCGTTTCGTTTCGTGCCCAGTTCGGCGAGGCCCATTGTCGTGCAGGGGCCAGGCCCATTGTTGTGCAGGGGCATGCTAATTCCTTCCGCCAAACATAATGCAGCCTGATCATGAATGCATGTAACGAGGGTGCATTGTGTTCGAGGGAAGATGGTAGTCTTGTCTTGTCTTTTTTTTTTTTTTTTTTTTTTTTTTTGAAAAAACACCTCCTGCAGTGCTAGTGATGCTGGTCAACACAGACACCACGAGCACCCGGGGGGAGGCTCCATCTATTGGTGGGGAGCATCACCTGCTGGAAAACAGGTCCAGCGTCCCTTTACAGAATACATTTCAGAAATGCAACCGACTGTTCGAGATACAGGAGATGTGAAGCTTGCAGGTTATTCCAGATGGGGTGGGGACCTCTTCGCCCAGCAACTAGGCGCCAAATATGTACTGCTGAAGAGCTAGTCCCCACCACCTTCTTGTGCGATGCTGGGGGGCAGTTGACATCAATGACATATAAAAACTTGTTGGTGGTCAGGTCCTGCGACCCTTGTACCTCTTCACCCTCTTTTGAGTGGCGCCAGATCATTCCTCTCAGGCTCTGGTGCTAATTAGGGTCCAGGACCCACTGTGGAAACTCAGCCAAAAGACTCAGTTAATCTATTCACCTATCATCACCGATTCCGAACCAAGAGGTGGGAATCAGCACACTGAGGGGAAGCGGGAACAGGTCAGGAAATTCTGAGAGGGGTCTCATGGGGATGGAGGGATCAATCGAACACCAATCCTCGAACACGACTCTGTAGTTTCTGTTGATGTATCCATCCTCATCCTCAGTGGCACCTTTCCAATCTACCTTCCCCATTTCCCCCCCCTGTTTCCCACCAAGCCAGATCACATTGAACTGTTGTATTTGCTGGGAGATTTCCTTTTTATTGGACAAGAATTGAATTTTTTCTTTTATGGTTTCCCATTGGTGTAGGATGCCTGTCTGAATGTGCTCTTTTATAGTTTCAGTGAACTCCGGGCCATCCAACCTGACTCCTTCCCACTCAAGGATGCATCTTCTTCTCCAAATGGCCCATAAGATTGCTCTTCTACTGAGAATAAACAGATTGTTGGTAAAATCATGGAGGATCTCCGTTTTCCATTCTTCCAGTAGAAGGGGCTTCCAGCCCCATGACCATTGTGTCTTTGTTTCTAGGTTGCTCCAGATTCTGTCCCACCATCTCCAGAGCCAGATTGAACCCGGGCATTGGAGAAATATATGTTCGATTGTTTTCGGGATCATTCTACTTGGGTAAGTGTTTTTACAAAGTTTGCACTATGGTTGGACCTGGTTGACCCTATCTTGTGACGTTCTATCCATCAACCAGTCATTAGTGGGAAGGCATCTGTGTTCGATCTGCCATTGTAACGATGCAATCTTGGCTGGTTTACAATTTTTGCTGCGAAACCACATAATGTGTCTTAGATCATTAAGATCTAAGTTAAGGTGTCTCATCCATCTGTTAGAGACTTTATCCTTGAGATTGATTTTTGGTCTCAACATTCTGTCTGTTGATTTGACCGAGAGGGTGTGGAGTGATCTGGAAAAGCTCTTATTGTCTTTGAGGCGTGATCCCCACTTCCAAGATGCAGGGTCCATTGCTAAGTGTGAGATGGGGGTATTGGGCCTGAATGCCAGCCACTCTTTTCCCATTTCTAGTATTCTAATTCTGAAAATTTGGTTGGTAGTTACCCATCTAACTTCATCTTTCGGATGAGGAACTACTCGATTGTCTTCTTTAAGAATGAAAAAGGGAAGTTAAAATATCTTCATTAGCTTCAACTTCTAAGACATTACCTATGAATAAAGGCTACCCAATCATTTGTCCTAATGACCGGACCCTTTATGAGGATACGGAACCATTCCAAGGGAATTAACTCAATGATCTTTTCCAGATCTAGTTCCACTTGGTGGCAATACCTTAATGAGTCATGAATTTCTTCCTTTGAGACTCAATCCTTTGATTCTTCATTCCAGATGTCCTTGATTCTAACGATTCCTTTCTTAATCCACCCTTTCCAAGGTGAGTCATTACAATGCAACATGACACCTCAATTATCCCTTATCCATGTGTTGTTGAACAGGGGTTGTTGACAAACTTCCTCCCACCTCTTGGGGTGAGACTTATCTGGTAGGGGTAGTCTTCTCCAATTCCTGATAAGGGATAACCAGAATGGGTCCTTGCTTAGATTTCTTATGGCCTCTTCTCTGTCATTTTAAGGGACGTCATCCTCCTCAACTTGTTTACTCCTTGGGAGAGCCCAATCTTGATTTTCCAACCACATCAGGGGATCAATGAGGTCATTGGTTAGAGGAGCCAATCTCTTGATTTGCTCCCATGCCAAGACTGACCATGGGGTTTGTGGGCTGAAGAGAAGTCTAATGATCCATTGAATGGATAATGCCATAACTTGGAGAGTAGGGTCTATTATACCAAGCCCTCCTCTTGATTTTGGTTGAATGATTGAAGACCAAGCGACTCTACTGATCACATTTTTTAGGTCGTGATTCCCTCTCCATAGGAAGGCTCGCCGAAAACCATTTTTTTTGCTTTTAGAATGAGGGGCTCGCCACACAGCCTTTCGAAACCGGCAAAATCGACAGTCCATTTTCGCCACACAGCCTTTCGAACCATGGGCTCCCGAAAACCCTTCGAAAGGTGTCAGGCCACTCAATCTCAAAAGGCATTTCGAGGCGCCTGTTTCTCAAAATGTGCCTCAGGTCTTGCGGAAACAGGCCGTCTTGAGGTCCACCTGTCAGGGTCACTACCCTGACGACTTGACGATGGCTAGTACCCTGATGGCGACCAATTTTCAAAAAGTCCGTGCTGCGAAAGGTGGGCTTCCGAAAGTCTGTATGGCGAAGAGGGGTTTTACTTCTTTTTTTTTTTTAACCGCCAGTACTTGGCCCATACATCGGCCGCGGGGTGTTGTTGTTAACGCCCCGCAACTTTCGGAGGCTCGGGGTACCGGCCCTCAAAGGCTGGCGTCGCCAGCCAAAACAATTTTGCCTTGTTACGCTGGCAGGTCCGTGCGAAACAGCGCGCGCCCTGTTTTCAGGCTCGGCATCGATAGCTGGGCCAAGTACTGGTGGTTTAAAAGCTGCCTTCTCCTCACCAGGGAACAACCATATATTTTTCTCTCACCTGTGTTTCGAACCCCCACCTTTCGAAGAGTTCCTAACGAAACAGATTTCGGAAAATGTCTTCATTCGAAAGGCTGTGTGGCAAGCCCTTGAGTGTCCGGTAGTAGGTCTGGCGGGGCCCTTCACCTGATAGTAGAAAAAGGTAGTAGGTCCTGAGTGCTGGTCACACTGAGGTAGGATAGTAGGAATAAGGGGTGCGCTAGGAGTATTGACGCCAGGATGGGATGGAAGGTAGCCTGGTCTCTTCAGACCAACCATGGCTGACAGCTTCCCGAGATCAATGTGAGCCTAGTGACTGGCCTCTACAACACCCTGGACAAAAAAAAAAGAAAAAAAAAAAGGTAGGAAGGGGGAGGACAATGGGATGGGAACGTAGCCTCGTTCCCTCAGGACGACCGTGGCTGACCGCTCCTGGCCAATGTGTGCCTAGTAACCCGCCTCTACAACACCCTGGGCTTTTGGGGGAAAAAAAAAAAAAAAAAAAAAGGAATTGGGAAGGAGAAGGACTGGGGAGACAGGGAGTCCCTGTACGTTTCTGTAACCAGGGGAATAAATAGGGACCAGATGGGATGGGCCTCGACGGCGGGAAGCGGCGGTGAAGTCTAAGGGCGGCCACGACCTGCCACGTTTGTCTGTACTACTAGCATAGCATGAAGATAACTGATTGTTACGACCACGTCCATGCTTTTCGAGTCCAACACGGCCAGACCAGAAAGCACAGTCAGAGCACAAGCACCAGTAGTACTTCTCCCAGCCTTTTTTCTGATTCCCAGCCCGCCAGAGCCCACCCCAGGCTCCTGGTCGGCCAGTCCTCGCTTCGCTGTTGTGCTATTATTATTTATATTAATTATATGTATTTTTATATGTATTTATATTATTATTGCCAAGCTGGCACAACGTGACGGACATGAAGACCAGATTCACGCCAAATCGCGCGCCATTCTGTTCTGAGATTGTTGTTGTGTCGTCGACTGTTGTCGAAGGGCGGGCGAAAGCCATCGTCAAAACCGAGGCTCCAATTCGATGGTACCTGTTCCCGCGCCCCAAGTTGCAGCACAGCACAACTTGCAGCGCACGGTGGAACAACATCGGTGACTCTTCTGTGGTCAGGGTCACCGAACAGGAAGCGGTTAGAACCGTACGCCTGCGTGTGTGTGTGTGTGTGTGTGTGTGTGTGTGTGTGTGTGTGTGCGCGTCCTGTACGTCTATGTGAGTAGGGACGTCGGCGAGTCTGCGGCGACTGAGTCGAGTGGTGCTCCTGCTGTGAGAGAGAGGGAGAGGGAGAGGGAGAGGAAGGCTAGAGCGGAGAAACGGGAGAGGCTTCCGCTTGCCACTACTGGTAGCCCATTTTTCGGAGACGTAGAAGGGGGTGAGTTTGGCAGGCAGTGTGTCGGGTTGGGTGGGGGTGAGAGGCCCAGCCGGGACGGTCTGGCGAGGGCCCCCCGCCCTCCCCCCCCCTTCCGCGGTGCCCTCCTTTCTGTTGGACCGCGGGTTGCGCAGGTGTGGTGGTAGCCTCGGTCTAGCCTCCGTCTAGGGCCGGCACTACGTAGTGCTGTTGTGTTCATGCTGAACTATGGAGTTGGCCTACGCCTAGCCCTCGTGTGCGGCGGGAAGGGGAGACTTGTGGAGGAGCTTCCCACCTCCCTGTTCTTCCTTCCTGCTCTTCGTCTTCCATCTGCCCCTCCACTCCGAAATTTCTTGCAGACCGTCTGTTGTGCGTCTTCTCACCGTCCTGTGTCCCTCAACCGTCTCCTGTACCAGCGTCTTCTTTCTCATCGCTCTCTCTCAAGTACTGTACGCAACAGCTTCGGCGGTTCTGTTTTCCTTCCTCCCATCCTCCTCCTCCTCCTCCTCCTCCCCCTCCCCCTCTTCTCTCTCTCTCTCTCTCTCTCTCCTGCTCGGGCTGCTGCTGCTGTTCCTTGCCCCGCACTCTCTCTCCCCGTTCCTTCGTTACGAACTCTCTACACACACACACACACACACAGAGAGAGAGAGAGAGAGAGAGAGAGAGAGAGAGAGAGAGAGAGAGAGAGAGAGAG